AGAGATGGGAGAGAGGCAAGAGGCGCAGGGCTGGGGGTTAAATTCACACGATGGGCAGTATTTGTGCGCTGGACATGGAACCCATGGCAGGGAATGGGGGAAACCAGGCTGTGGCTGCCGGGCTACCTGAGGGGGCTAGGGGCCCTGGGAGATGACTCTGCTCTCCGGAGGGACAGAGCATTTGAGGGGATGAAGTGGTGACCCAAGCGGGATGTCTGGAGGCCCTGAGGCTGTGGGGCAAACAGGTGACCTCTTTCAGCTCTGGTGTCTAGGCAGGGGACGTGTCCCCACCTTGGAGCTGAGGCTGAACATGCTCTTCACCCACCGGCCCCTCCTGCCCGGCTTCCCTCACCCGGCACCTCCCGTTCGGCGGGATCAGCCCTGAGTGGATGTGACATCCATCCGGATGAGGAGGGAGCACCCCCGGCCAGGGGGGCTGGCGGAGCTGCCCGCCGCGATCTCCCTGCCTGGGCATCGGCCCCGCGCCCTTCCCGCCGCACCGGCACACCGGGGCCGGAGCGGGTCTCGGCCCCGCCGGGGCCACCGCAGCCCCGTGCCGCCGCCCGCCGGTCACCGCCGCCAGGAGGGCGCAGAGACGCCCCGGTCCCTGCAACAACTGCCGCAACTTTCCCCGCTCCCCCGGCGCCCCGTTTCGGCCTCCGGTCCCCGCTGCGCCCCGCCCCGCCCCGCTCCGCACCCCGCATCTCACCGGCAGTGCCGCCGCCGCCACCGCATCCTCCGCGCCGCTCCTCCGCGCTGCTGCCGGCACGGCGCGGCCCGGCCCGCCCCGTTGGGCGTGCCGCGGTGCGGTACGGTACGGTACGGTACGGTACGGTACGGTACGGTACGGTACGGTACAGCTCGGTACGAGACGGTGCAGCACGGTGCCACCGGCCGCAACCCGCCGCTCCCTGCCGCGCTAATCCCGGGCCGAGCCTGTCATTCCGCCCCGCTGACAGCCACGGCAGCCAATGCCAAACCCCGCCGGGCGCCGCGCCCCGCCCCACTCGGCGGCACCGGCACACGAGGAGCGGCCGAATTCACACCGGGGTGCCTGTCCCCATGGGTGGGCAGGCCGGCGGGTCCCCCACCCGTGTAGCATCCTCCACATGCTCAGGTCCCGCTGTGCACACCCCCTGTGCCAGTGCGAGCCGGGTCTCCTGCACTGGCAGCGCGACCCCGGATGCCGGTGTGCCTGTTCCAATGCCGCACCATTCATGTCCCCGTGTCCTGGTGTCCATTTCTCCGTCCAGCAGCGTGCACATCAATATGAACGGCCAGCCCCTGCTCAGCTGCATGCAAGTTACTGTGTGACCACTGGCACGTGTCGATGCGTGAACATGCACGTTCTGTGGTTTGTGCCCTACGCCAAAGCGTACAGGCTCCCCTGTGCTCCACCATTGCTTAACAACCACGAGGATGAGAAGACAAAAACTGCTATGCAGTCCAGGCTACCAACCAACATCAGCAAGTCCTTGATGTAGAGGACAGGTTCTGTGCCAGGGACTTAACTCTCCAAAGGTCATCACCCAAAGCACACTACAGCCAGGGGTGCCAAGGTGTCTCAGACCACCAGGAACTTGGTATCACGGTGTCACTAGCACCCCAAGGATGGTAAGTGCCACATGAATCTCAGGAAACAGTTTCTATTCTTGGTACAAGGGGGAAAAATCGCCTACCCTTGGTCTCCTGCCTTGGCATGGGGACTCCACTGGCACCAGTGGCATGTGTGAGCTCATATGGGACAGCTGGGTACCAAGGTGAGGGGTGCTATGGCAAGGCTTCAGGACGCTATGCTGCCAGTGCACTGGGTCTGTGTGTGGCAGCCATTTGGACTGGCAGCCAGCACTTTGTGCCCACACAGGTTGCCAGATCGATTTGCTATTAAACAGCATTTTATTACCCAGCCCAGCAATCATTATTAAATGTGTGTGAGACAAGAAGCCCAGGGGAGCTAGGGCTTCATGTGCACATCATATCTGCAAGAGAATTTGGAAAGACCTGCCTCTCCTTGCTGCTGTCCATGCCTGCAGCAAGCCCAATTCCAAGCTCACCTACCCCCTCAGTCACCCAGAAAGTGTGTCTCCTTCTGCCCTCCCAGGCATAGAGAAAAAGCATCAGGCAGGGCAGGCTTTCCTCATATTTAATGCATCAAAATGCTGCCATTTTCTCCTTCCTTCTCCAGGCTCCTGCCTGTGAGGGGCCTCTCTCCCCCACACTGAGGACTGTGGGATTCAGCTGCCTTAGACACAACAGGCTTTTCTGGCAGACTCCAAGAAGCTCGGCTAATTAGGGGCCTCACTGCTGAAGGATCAACGACCTGATTCCTTCAGCAGCTTCTTGATGGCAGAAGGGTGGGGAGGGGGAAGGCTTTTCTCTAAGCCACAGCCAGAGTGACAAATTTAACCAAGTGGAAGAGCTCAGAGCTTTCCCAGTGTGTCCATACCAGGACAAGGCATGTCTGTGCCTTCCCAGCACCTGCAGGCAGCCCTGGTGAAAGCTGCAGAAGGTAAGAGATTTCTTTTCCTGACACCCTGGCTGGAGATCCAGATCATTCACAGAAAACATTTCTGTCCAGAACATGTGTTTTCCCGTTGTAGCAGTAGCTGTTCCTCTCCCCACAGTGTCTTGCTCCATATCCCACTCACCTTCCTACAGCCCTAAAACTCATGAAAGATGTGTCCACATACATGGGTCTGGCCAACATTGACATAAGCCTCACTCAGATCAGGATTTTTCAGGATTTAGCCCTGCGTCTCCTGATCCCTCCTGCTGTGAATTCCTCCCTAGCTGATGCGAGACATGAAGGAGCAGAAAACCCCTCTGGCAGATGACAGAAGAGGACAAGGTGTCTCCCACAGTTCAGCTTCCAGCCCAATCCAGTGGGCTTAGCTAGAGAGATAGGAGTGCCATGCACTGAGAACCCTCTTTACTATCATTTGAGTATTTCAGGACCTCCAGTCCTTGCCTGCAGGTACCACATCCTTCCTGTATTAGAGTCCACTCAACTCCATGTTATCTTTTTCAGCCTCCCAGGTCATGAAAAAGGGAGCTTCTAGAAGATTTCTAACTATTGCCAGCACTGTCCTTGGTCATCTTCATAAGTCTGCAATACACTTCTCCCTCCCAAAGGCAGAAGGGTCTCGGTATCATCAGGGCAGCACAACCATGAACTTCCAGCTTGGAAGAGATCAACTTGACATGTCATAGTGTCCAAAAACCTGTACAGATCTAGATGAAATTTGGGTGAAGAGGGGTTAGACAAGAGCTCTTTCCCCCAGCTGGCTCCAGGAGATAATCACACTCAGCTTGCCCTAAGGCACATGGATCAGTCTCTACAAAGGTGCTGCAGCTGCAGCTCCACTTGGGGTAAACACTGTAGTGCACCCCAGGGCTGCTTCTCTGAGATCAGTGTGGGTTGTCAGAGCCATTTCCTCGCTGGTGTGCTTTGTGCTAAATGCATTGCAAAGGGTGCAAGGGCATATTCTGCCTCACTGCTGCCAGAATCAGTGGGGCTCAGGGCACAGCACAGGCCTGCAAGGGGGGACCGTCACTCTATTGGCATATGGGCTCTTCTCAACCCAACTGACTGGAAGCATCATGGAAATAGCAACTCCAGACACACAAGCAATGAGCCCCAGTGAAAGCAAGGGAAGCTGCACTCCCCTCACCTCTGCAATGAGGGCTCCAGGGTAACCAGGTAGATTGCATATGTTCCCTCAGGGCCTAGGCATAACTACATGGCTCTAATTAATACCCTTTTACCTCCAGTGCCAACACCCAACCACATCCTAGTCATATATTACAGAAGCCATTGCAGCACAAGCCAAGTCTTTAGTGGGCTGATGCACTTATCTGTTATTGCACTAGACTTGTGGTTAAAGATAAATGCTGAAGATATCATCCCCTGGATAGTCCTATACAAATGCTCTTCTGTGGCTTAGTCAGAGCAAAAAGTGCTGGAGATCCTTCCTGAAGCCTCTCCCACCCAGACCTGGAACAGGGCAGAGAAAACCTGCACTGTCCTGTGCCTCTTGCACCTCCTCTGCATGGGACACTCTGTGGGATTGTGGCAGGATTTTTCAGGGTGAAAGGCATTCTAGAAGAGGATACAGACTGCAAAATGTCTTACCAGAGAGAAGAGCCCATGCGGACTCTACATGAGTGACAGCTGCTGCCTGCCCCTCTGCCAGTGCCCTGCCCAGTGTCCCAGCTCCCTGACTTGTGCTGCTCCCTCTTGCAGGAGGAACAGGGGCTTGGAAGAGTGGAGTTGTAGAGAGGTGGTAGCAAACACTGTGGCTGGGCCTCAGAATGAGCTGTAACAAAATATTTCTGTAATGCCCCAGGCACAGCTGCTGTTACAGAAATCCTCTCTGTCCCAGCCCAGGCAGCACCTGCACAGGGAGCAGGCTTCCTCCTGCACCAGCATTGCTCTGTCAAGATGAAGGCAGAAATGACAGCATGATAAAACCTGTCCTGGGGACGTGGGAGGTGGGGCCTCAGCACAGCTTGAGCCATAAATAATCTCCCTACACAGCAGTTAGGGGAACAATTGTGTGGGAGTATCTCTTGGTAAAAAGATGCTCAGGAAAAGATGGTCTTGAAGGAAAGCAAGGGATTTCTGAGTGGTGGGGTGGGCTCTCCAGTGAAGACAGAGCTTCCTGGGTGCCAGCAGGTCATTCACCAGACCTACCTCACCATGGTGAGTCTCTGCACCAAAGAGACAAATTTAGTCTGAAACAACTCAAATCACCCATACTCTGGTGTAGCCTCCCAGGACAGGCTTGTGCTGCAGCACAGACCTTCAGACTGCTCTCCAGCTAATCTATGCAGCAATATGATGTGATCCCTTACCCATACCTTCAGACTCAAGATTCACATGGGGAAAGGTGAAAGGGTGTAAAGGGAAGTGAGAGCGACGAATACAGAGTATTTTATGCAGCACACAGCCGCAGCACACAGTCTGACCCAGCACAGGATGAACACAGACACATCCAGAATTGTGTAAAAGGCCTTGAAGGTCAGTTATAGAGGAGTAATTACAAATATAGCCAGAAAACTGAGCAAAATGGCTGTCGTGGAAATGTGTAGAGATAAATTCAAAGGGCACACTGAAAGCTTGAATGCAGGGGATTCGTGAGTGGGATGCTGCAGAACAACCCTGTATTTCTGTTTTGCTGGGAGCTTCCCATGCATAATCCTCTTTCAACCTTGACTTGCAGAACTTGGTCTTGCTTTACATCTGTTTATTTATTTTTTTTTAGCCCTGACTGTATAGTCAAATTATTTTCTGAATAAGAAGTAGGAAGGTGGCATGTACAGAGAAGAGTTGAACAGAAGTCACCATGTGTTCTTGTTTCAGCAGCTTAGAAATGGAGTCTGGTTACACTGTGCAATCTCAGCACTGACTGACAGCAGAGCTTACCCTATGAGCTCAATACCTTCTCCCATGCAACCAAGAAGACCAGCTGTGCTCCAGTCCAACCCTGAGAGTGATGGAGGCTGTCAGACTTATCCTGCAGCCAGAGAAAAGATGGAGCCAGATCCTTTGAAAGAACCTGATGAGAGTCCAAGAAAAAAAAAGAGTTGAGAGGCTTTACTGAACTTCTGTGGTATTGCATTCACGTAGCTCTCACATCTAAGAGGAGTGAATACTGCAGAGTTACTGGTGTCCTTGACAAAATCTTGACAAGTTTCTTCTCCCACTGGAGACTAGTAGAAAACTGTAAAGAAAATGGCCCCAAAGTCTTTGCAAGGCTAAAGGTGTTTAGCCAGCACAGTGCCAAGCCTTTATACGAGGTGACAGGTCTATCCTAGAACATGGGGATAATATTGGCTTGGCATCATATTGATCTCCTAAAAATAAGTTGTACTCTTGGACAGCACTAGCTTCTGGAAACCCCAGCAGGCTTGCAGAAACCCAGCCAATCTCTGAATACACCTCTGACATGGAAATATTTCAATTGGAATGGATTGGAATTTTCAATGTAAGGGAAAAGTCAAAAGGCATAAGTGGGGAAGACTTGCCCATTATAGCTAGAAAATCAGGAGCATCTCTGAAAAAAAAAAACCAAAAAAAAAAAAAACAAACAAAAAAAAGAGACAAAACCTTGGGTTCCTGGCTTGAGACCAGCTCTTCTAACCACAAAACTTCCCCTCCTTCAGGGCTCAGCTTCCTAAATCTCATCTCCACTTCCTAAAGGGTGAGGTGATGACCAAACTGCTTCTCTAGACTCTTCAGAAGTATAGCTGAGCATCAGCACTGCCTTGCAACAGTAGAGCTGGCTGAAGTCTCTGTTCACTTCAGGGGATGTTCACTCAACTGAAGTCTCTGTTCACTTCAGAGGATGTTCATGAGGTTGAAGATGCCATGCCCTGGCTCTGTGAGCTGCCAGCACCATATGTTTCCAAGGAATGTAGCAGAAAGCTGCGGCAGCAGCAATTGTTGTGAGCTAATCTGCTTCCTCCCTCTGGTGCTCAGCTTGGTCGCTCATTACTATGGATCAGCTCATGGGCTGAGGCAGTAGCTCTGCTTTCTCCCACAGGACATCAGTGGCCACGGGGATAACAGGAGTGCCAGGGAACTGAACAGCGTCCCCTGCGTGTTGAAGGTACCTGTGCAATACACTCCCTCAGATGTCTTGCAAGAACTGCAGGTGTCATAGCCCAGCATTCACCAAGTCCACACAGAAAGCTATTTTGGCAGACCTGGTTGAGGTATTATGAATCAACTAAAAATGGACATCCAACTGAAGCTTAAAAAGTAGACCTATAGACACCTCTCAAGAGAAATGCAGACCCCACTTTGGCAGAATATATTCCAAAAGAAAGGCAGAAGTTTGCTGCAAATTTTGATTGAGCAGAGCAGAACAAAGTTGAGCTCAGTCTTCAAGCTGGTCTGCTTTGGGCTGTCCCTTCCCTGCACAGCTACAGTGGATAACACCCCCCAAGCCCTGTACTGCAGTGCTGTACAGCTGTTTCACAACTGCTCTGCATATAGGAAAACTCGATAGGCATGAGCACAAAACCAGGGCTGGTTTGGGATCCTTACCATTGGTGTAGACCTAGGTTGCTGAGTTCACTGAATATCCTGATGGTGTAAAGCTGTGTCTCAGCACACACCTCTACAATACACTAACAGTCTCTGATGTTCTTTCTGCATCTGCAAACAACCTGTGGACAAAAAAAACAGAACAATATGAACATTTCATAGCTGGGAAGTATCCTTAATTCCTAGTACCTCACACATCCATCTCAATAGCTGTAGCCAGCCAACTGGCCAAACCCCTCACAGGCCAGGAGCTCTCAGGCCCTTGGGGCACTTGTAAACCTTAGTGGCCATAACCAGCCATATGTCCAGCTTCCACCACTCCTGCCCATAGGCCCAGTGATTCTATACATTAAGGGACTCTGCCAGGTGGCACTTTTCCATTTCACAGTGGGAAGTCATGTCCACAGGGAAAGAAAGAGCTGTCCCAGGACATGGCCAGGGGCATTCTTAACTCCAACAGAAAATTTAAAACCCTGCATCATTTGTCCTTTAAATGCGAAATGCACTCCTCGACAATCCTCGAGGAGCAGGTGCTAAGTGTCCTGGGGCAGACAGAATGGGTAGCTTCCCCCAGAGGAAAAAATACCTTTTTGCAAACCAGCTTCTACGTTTTGAGGAAATGAGCAGAGCAGGGTGCACAGACAGATCATTGCTTTCCAGGAAACTTGGGACTAGGGATTTAGGATTTGTTTACTGTCTGTAGGGCCTGCTCTTTTGCCAGGTGGATTTTTTAATAGCTTCTATGCCCGCAGTAATCAGCAGGGTGATGCTATGCTGCACAAGTCAGCAGGTCTCAGTCCCGAGACAGCGATGGAGTCACACGCCCTGTGCCGGCTCGGAGGTGTGGTGTGCGAGTGCCGCACCAACGCGGACCGGGTGCCTGCCGGTGCCCGCTCCGCAAACCGACAGCGGGGAGGAAGGAGCAGCATCCGTTTCTACGGGGTCGTTATGGCAACTGCGCGGGCAGGAGCCCGGGCCGCTTCTCCGCGGGGGCTGCGGGAAAAGGGAGGGACCCCGCCCCGTCCCCGGGGCTGCGGAGGCAGGTGGGGCAGCGGCGGGGGAGCGGAGCGCCAGGAGCCGGTTGGCAGTGTGGGAGGATGCGGGCTGGGAGCGGCGGGCCGCGGGCAGCCCCGGGGCGGGGACAGCCCGCTACCGGCGGAGGAGCGGGGCCCAGTGGCTGCCGGTGTTATAAGAACTGTGAGCTCCAGGGATTGGCCTTTCCCGGGGATCCGTCCACTCCTGCGGGCGGGCAAGGGCGGCACAGCCCGCTGGGAGGGCCGCGGAGCCGGGCAGGTGGCTGGGGGGGCTGGCGGGGCCGTCGCTCACCGGCAGCAGCGGGTCCCGGCTCCGCGTGGTGCTGAACGGACAGCGGCGCCGCGCCGCGCATGCGCGCCCGCCCGCCGGGGCAGGGGCGTGCGCTGGGACCGGGGAGCGGCGGCAGCCGGGGCGCGCCCGGGAACCGGGGCGCGGGGAACGGCGGCAGCCGGGGTGCGTCCGGGAATCTAGGCAACTGCGGGGCTGAGCCGGGGGAACTGAGGCCGTGGGGAACTGAAGCGGCTGGTGTGCGCTGGGATCTCGCGTCTCTGGGGAAACGGGAACTGAGGAACTGGGACAGGCGGTGTGCTCTGGGGAACTGGGGTAGCTGCGGGGCTGCAGCCATCGGAGTGCGCTGGGGAACTGCGGCCGTGGGGATCTGGCGGTCTGGGATAACTGAGGAACTGGGACAGGCGCTGCACGGGGGAGCGGGTGCGCCCCGTGAGCTGGGCCACCAGAGCGGAGTGCGCGCCGCGCCGCCGGGAGCAGCCTGCGGGAGCCTCTGCGGCAGCAGTGGCACCTGTGACCAGCGTGGCCCGCTGTCCCGCCGGCACTCCCCGCCGCGGCGCGGTGCCTCCGGGCCGGTGCCGGTAGCGCGCTCAGCCGCCGGGGCGCGGCCAGGGGCGGGGCCGAGGGCGGGATGCGGGGCGCGCGCACTTCCGCCCGCCGCCGTGACGTCACGGGGGCCGCCGGTGTCCCGGGCGGGTGCGGCGCCGGATGGAGCGGCCGGGGGAGCCCCGGCGGGGCCGCAGGTACCGGGGGGCTGGGGAAAGGCTGGGCTGTCCTGTCCTGTCCTGTCCTGCCGCCTCGCCACGGCGCACGGGCAGCGGGACGGTGTCCCGGTGCCGGCGGCGCTCTGGCGGCCGCCTCGCTGCGGCGGCGGGGCAGCCCGGGAGCGGCTCTGGGGCCGAGCGAGGCCCCCTTGGGACGGCGGGGCAGGAATGGCCTCGGGTGGGGACCCCCCCAAGTGCGGCTTTGCTGGGGCCGAGTGTACCCGCGGCTCGGTGGGCTTTGGGCCGCCGGCCCCCCTCTGCTCCTTCCCTTCGCGGCCGAGGCTTCATCTCGGCAGAGACGCTGAACGCCCGCTCCTCGGAGCGAGGCTCCCTGCGGGGAGTCCGGAGCCTTGTTTCTCCCCGGGAACGAGCCCGTAGCTGGTCTCGCCCCCTTGCAGGGTGCCCGAGTGGGCCGGCATGGATGCGGGGACTGGCTGACAGAGCGATGCTCGGACATGAACGCCGAGCACAGCTATTGTGCGACTGGTGCGGTAACGCTGCAGCAGCTTCTTGCTGCTTTGCTGAGGAACAGGGGCCTCCTTCAGCAGCTGAGGGAAAGCCCCACCCAAGCTCTCCTGGCGGGCACTGTGGGCAGGCAGACTCAGATGCCTGAGCGGGGAACGTCCCAGGCTGGGGAGGTGGTGATGCAGGCAGCAGGCACGTGCCCTGCTGATGGCTAGCCAAGGGGCTGTTCCCTGTGGGCTGACTGGGAAATGTCGCCGAGTCTGAGTCTTCCTTTCTGGCTGTTCCTCCTAGAGGCATCCGGCAGTAGGTGTGAGCTGATCTTGCCTGGCTCCTGCAGTAGCCTGGCTCTCTGGTGTCTGATGATGAGTGTGACCCCGACCAGGGGATGCCTCCTGGACCTGCCATGGGAAGACATCTTGGTTCCACATATCCTCTGTCATCTGCCACTGCAGCAACTCCTGAGCCTGCAGAGGGTCAGCAAGTCATTCCAGTCTCTCATCCAGTTGTACCTGGCCAACATGCGCTGCTTTGACTCAAGCCAGGTATCGGATGGCTCTGAGGCTGGGGGAGGACACAGATGTCCTACTGCTCTGGAACTAACAGGGGAGCATCTATGTGGGGAGAAGAAACCCCTGGCAAGAAGGGTAGTTTCTGCTCAGGAGCTTGGGTTAATAGTTCAGGTGTCAAACTGGACAGATGGGCTTAGGGAGGAGAGGCAGTGATTCAGGGCCCAGCAATGCCAGTGTCTTGAGTAAGAGGCCCTGGGAGGAGTAAGCCTGGAAACTCCACCCAGGCTGTTATGGGGCACTGGCAGGCAGTCTGGAGTTTTAGAGTGGCATGTCCTCATGAAAGTTGTGCAGAAGTTTGGGTCTGATGGGAGATAACTCTGTGCTTGGTCTTCAGGGAAAGTTTGTGTTATTCCTGGGAGTTACTGCCTGGGATTGGGAAAGACTGGAGTGACTGCTATTCTGTGAGGACACAGAGTGGTTTAGCAAAGAAATTTTTGGAGAGCAGAGGTGTGGAGCTCATCATGAGTATATAAATGCAGGAGTGATGATGTGGGATGGAGAAACCAGAGTATCATTTAGCTTGTGGCAGTAGCCTTGGCATGAGGTGAGCAAGGTCTGATGGTAGGGTTTGCCCTGGGATGAGGACAGGGGATGGCTTTTGTCACTGTTGTCACAGAAGAAGAGAGGAGGGGAGAGAGTATTGGTGAGAACCAGGCTTACCTGAAACCCTGGGGGGATGCCTCATTCTTCCTGGGTTCCCCATGCAGATTGGACCTGCCATCCCTCGAGCCGCTTTTGTTAACCTGTTGAAGGACAACGAAGTTCTGCAGCAGCTGGCACTCCAGAACTGCTCCGACTGGCTGACGGACCAGGAGCTGCTCCCGGTCATTGGGCAGAACCACCACCTGCACCAGATCCAGCTGAAGGGCTGCGCCCAGCTCAGCCGCCACGCGCTTGTGGCCATCTCTCTGAGCTGCCCCAACCTGCGCCAGCTCTCCCTGGCTCACTGTGAGTGGGTGGACAGCCTGTCCCTGCGCAGCCTGGCTGACCACTGCAAGGCGCTGGAGGCTGTGGACCTGACGGCCTGTCGCCAGCTGAAGGACGAGGCCATCTGCTACCTGGTGCAGAAGTGTGGCAGGCTCAAGTCTCTGTCACTAGCTGTCAATGCCAACGTGGGTGACGTGGCAGTTGAGGAGACTGCCAAGTGCTGCCCAGAGCTGGAGCACTTGGACCTCACAGGGTGTCTACGAGTCAAGAATGACTCCATCAGGTACTGAGCAATGTGGGGGGCCGGGGGGGATGGCACGTACCTGGGATGGGGAGAGGAAGAGAACCAGAGAGGAAAGGCAGATTTCATGTGGAAAGCAATGAGAGCTTAGTCTGGGAGAGAAGCCACTAGCAAGCCCTTCAGGGGAAGCACTGTGTGCTATTGACAGCAAATTTACCAGCATATCATGGAAGATAGGTCTGGGATCCAGATGTCCCTTATCTCATACCACCATGGTGCTGTCTGCAAAAGATGGTGCACATGTTGCACAGTCACGAGTGCTAGGGTGCTGGGAGAGGAGCATGAGTGGTGCACTTAGGAGTCCTGACTTGCAACTTGCATATGCTGTCTTTCTTGGCAGGGTCCTGGCTGAGTACTGTCCCAAGTTGCGCTCGCTGAAGGTCAAGCATTGCCACAACGTGGCTGAGTCCAGCTTGAGCATCCTCCGAAGCCGTGGGGTGGAGCTGGATGTGGAGCCTCCACTGCAGAGGGCTCTTGTTCTGCTGCAGGATGTGGTTGGCTTCGCCCCTTTCATCAACCTTCAGATCTAGAACTGCTGCTGCTGGGGAGGGGGGGACTGACACAATGCTGGGATCCCAGAAGGATGCCGGAACTGGCTGCTGTAGAGACGTGCAGAGGTTTGAGGTCAGTCCCATTGCTGAGGCTGGCCTGAGTGGGGCTCTCTTTCCTCTGGGGCTGAGTGTTCATAAGTGGACTTCATTGGTGCCTCTAGGGAAAGTAACTCCCTCTGCAGTGGCGTGGAAAGAGCGAGTGATTTGCAGGAACACCATGGTGCTGAACAGGTGCTTGGTCAGGCCAGCTAATCTATAGGACTTATTATTTGTTGTATTTTAAATCTTTAAGCAGCAGCTGTCCAGAAAGCAGGAGAGTGTTTGGTGGGGACTGTCCGCTGGGGTGGGTGTGCAGGGCATGCCAGCAGAGCTGTGGAACAAACCAAACCAGCTGGAGCAGAAAGAATAGCTACCAGCCCTCCTCTTGGGAGAGGGCAGGCCCCTCTGGGCTCTGGGAGGAGGGCAGTGAGCCTAGCTTCAGCCCACAGCCACTGACTAGCCTGGCACCAAAAGGGCTAGTATGATCCCAGTTCAGGCAGTGTGTCTGCCCAGGCCTAGCGTGCTGGTTTAGGTTGGAGCAAGGTGGGAGTTGTTTTCAGGGGGAACATGCTCCTAATGGCAGTTTGACTGACAGAAGCTGTGCTGTCACTGAAAGCAGTTGGTCATTGTAATTTGTTTCTTCCAGCACCTGACTTAATATTTTAGTAGTGCCCAGGCCTGCTACTGTATTTTGCTCTCTGTTATGTGGCTGGAGCTTTGGCTCTCAACGGTGATGAGAAATGGCAGGAGCACTGACTCTACAATCAGCTGGAGTTTATGGAGAGAGCTGCAGATTGTGTTGGCAGGCAGAGCCTAGTTCTGGAGTTGAGCCTAAGCCCTTTTATCCGCTAGGCAGTTAACAAACAGCAGCAGCATCTTGAGAACGTGATGAAGAGAGTAATTAGAGGAAGAGAGGATGACCCTGCTCCTGTCTTTGGAGGCAGTGTTGTAAACATGTGCACGCTCTGGCTGAACTACACACCAAGTCACATCATCTTTATTAATACTGGCACTTAAAGCAACAGTGCACAAAGTTAAAAAGGTTGCTGCAAAAGCACATGCCGCATCTCAGATCTAAAAATGTCCCATGCAAGGAATAGCAGAGAATGTCCAGGTCCTGGTGAGCCACTGTGGTGTGCCCCTGGGGGCAGAAGGACAGCTACACAAGGAAAGAAGTCTCCTCAGCCAGGTTAGTTGAGGAAGCTGAAAGCAGTGTCCTGACTTCCAGGCTAGTTCAAGTTAGTGGCAGGTGGAGTTGCCTCATTCTTAGCACCACACAGCCATCCTGCCATGCCTGGCAGTGAGGTGGAAGGCTGAAGAGCAGGAGAACATGGCTGTCAGTGGAACTTGTACTTCCTGGCTGGTTTTAGGCTGATGTAGGTTCTCTTCATCTCCTCGCTCTCAGGCTTCTTGATGTCTTTGTACCTCTCTCCTTTTGTGCTCACCACCTGGTTATCAATGTAGCGGATCAACTTCTTGGGAGCCTGGAAAGATATTAACATCAAGTGGATGGACAGCCACACTGCTAGAGAAATGGAGGGGGCAAGCAAAAGCAGAGCTGCACTACGGGAGGTGGGTGGGCTGCTTTACCATTGTCTGTGTTGGGAATCTTGGCCAAAACTGCGAAGGATGCTGATAGGAGGGAGCAAGAGCCATGGTGGTCAGGAAAGGTAAGAACTGACATTTCCTGCAGCACCTTAGCTGAGCTAATCTTCCCTCTTTGACTGATGGGTTCTATGAACGGACCTGCCTTTGGCCTGCCCTGTTGTTTTTTTGGACTTGCAGCCTGGTTTTATTTTAAACCTTGGGACATTCAAACTGCTGGTGAGCTGGACCTGCTTACCTCTTTGGGTGGAGCTGGCCGATGTGTTTTCTGATCATCTGCACTATCCACCATCATGTATCTGAAACACAAGAAACATTTGGTGAACACTGTAATATACATTGCCTGGGACCACTCAAATCCTATGTCCCTTCTCCCCTGGCTGGTTTGTGTCCTACTTGCCTAGATTGCAGCTAGGAAAACTTGATGTTCCTCTCTGGGTGAAATGGGCAAGTATGTCACCCTTCTGGTGAGAATCTAGCAGGATTCTCCTGGAGTAGCATCCTTAGCTGTATGTGAAGGGTCTTGAAAACTCAGGTGGTTGAGAATGCTGATAGCCACTGCAGAACTGAGAGAGGTACTGAGGTCTGGTGTGTTCTGCCATTGGGGCAGCTTTGTTTCTTTTCAGTCCAAGTGATGGTAGCCAAATGAGACACAGGTGAGATTACAGGACCAATCTGTCTGCTTTTGCTCTGAATGATGGTGTTCCTTTCACACTCCTCCTACTACTTGACTATGAAAAAGGTCTGTGCTGGAAGCAACTTGATAAAAGCATCACCTCATTTCCTATGTAACTGAAACATCAGGGTCCAAGCATTTGCTTGCTGTACTGCTGAGTTGCTACTCTGAGATTTTGGTGCTGGTTTAGCACAGGTGACCACGACTTCTCCCTCAGTAGTTAATAGTTACTCTTGTGTATCTTCAGCTATGGCGATCTGCTTTCTGTACCTGTGCTTGAGTGATGTTTAAAGTACAGGATGTTGCCAAAATGTCATTAAAGTGAAGTTCTCAGAAACAGAAAAAGAAGCTGGTGTTTTTTTATTCCCTTGCCTGTCACTCTGAAATGAGCCTGCACAGGAGATGGGCAAGGACAGGGATTACTACTTCTGCCTGGATGCTGTTCTGCCTTGCTTTGTCTTTCCTAGCCCATCGACTGTTTATCCTGTCCCTGGGGAGAATGTAAAGTGGAAAAGATGTGGCTGGATAGATGTGTGGAAGCTGCATGCCTGCATGAGGATACTCGTGAAAGATGAGATCTTAAAGCAGATAGATGAAACCACAGTGTGGGTTCTCCCATTGAGAATTAAATGCTTTTAGTAATGAATATAGGTAAACTAATTTAGATCTATTTTCATTCCCAAGAAGCCCATAGGAGGACTTCAGTGGGGTTTCTTTAAATGCATTGAATTCACACCTTCAGCAATTGAGATTTAATCTTCCCAGTGCTGTTGTACAGGCGATCTCTTGAAGGTATCTTTAACCTTGTTTGGACTGTCTCCAAGAGTGGAGGTATGAATGAGTTACTGTAGTTCTACAGGTCACCATGTGTTTGTTACCTGAGCTGCAGCATGATGTTTGTGCCGTGAACCTTTAACCAGGACCTCATAGCTAACAGCACTGTGACTTACACTGTATCTATAGGAGGCTGAAACCTTGCACACAGCCAGTGCTGTGACCCAGCTGGTACAGATCATGTGTTTCTGTGACAGAGCTCTAAAAGAAACCAAACCTGTTCTGTTGTTTAGGTTTTGTGGGTTGTTTGTTTGGGTGTGTATGTGTTTCGCTGGTTGGTTTTTTCTTTTTTTTTCTTCCCAGCTGATTATTTGTGCTTAGATGTGTTCAGCCAATACCCACCTCTGGTTCTTTATAGACCACACTGTTCCCCAAACTGCTACCTCTTCACTGATTGGGAGCAAAACAAGACATTCTTTGCTGCTGGGTACTTACTTCTGTAGGATGACCTGTTTTAGTTCCTCATGGTTGGGTGCTCTGCGGGGCCGTGCCAGTTCCTGGGAGGAGACAAGTTGGTGTATGAATAGCACCACAACAGGGTGCTATTCATACAGCTTACCTGCCAGCTCAGTGAACCCAGCTGCTGGTGGAGCACTCCAGGGGGAAAGGGGTGCCTGCCACAGCTCCACTGGGGTCCTGGCTTGGTTGTGGGCACAGCCTATACTAAGAGCCAGGGGTGGGAGAGGAGCTGTTGCACTGCATGATCTTCCTGGCTTACTGTGCATAAAGTTTCTGCAGTCAAAATTTCTGCTTGAGCAGACAGCTGTGGCACTTGCATGTCCCTGAGCTCTGCCCTGCTCCTTGGCCCACTGCCACCCTGGTCAGAGTACAGTACCTTCACACTTGAACCTGCTGGGCCAATTTCCACCTTCTCCTCCACAATTAACTGCACTGCCTCTTCCAAGTTCCCCAAGGCCATGGCGAGAGCCTTCTCTGCCTGGCTCACAGTACAGGCTGGGAACATCTCCAGTAGCAGCTCCACCCCATCCTTCAAGTCAGCGCCTTCCTAGTTGGAGAAACAGACAGAGGTAAGTTGGGGATGTAGTGTGGAGAGGGTTTCTGAAAAGGGCCTCTGGTTTTTCATGGTCAGGAAATTCAGCCTGCCCTTTGCCGAAAGCTCCCTCTCCTTACCATCATTACTAAATCTGATTCCTGAAGCTAACAGGGGACTGTATCTTCAGAAACACCAACTCCTCTTGCTCTCTGATCTCCTCCCTCTGTATTTCAACTTGCTTTAAAGCAGGACTCCTGTAACCTGACTCATCTGTGTGGCCATGCTTAAGAGTGAGCTTCCTGGACCCTGTGGTGCACATGCCTGGCTCCTGCCCACCTTCTGAAGTTATATGTACTTTGAATAAATAGAAAGGGCTTGCTAAACACTGACCTGATGCTACATCAGAAGGAATCACCATAGCAGCATTTGCTAGAAGGCTGTGGACATAGAATGCTTGTACTGCAGAGCAGGAATAGATCAGTACTGGAGAAACAGCAAGCAGGGTGTGGGGGAGGAGGGTGGGGTTGATGTAGAAGGTACTGCAGTACCTGTAGCTGCTGTGGGATCTCAGGTTCTCTCAGCCATTGTTCTGGCTTACCCTTTCCAGCCACTGAAAAGGATGAGCCAGAGCATTGGCTCACAGTCTGTCAGCACATAATTTTCTGACAGTCTTGCTCAGGCCATACAGTGGAGAAGATCATGGACACAAGTGATGCTGTGTCATAGCCTATGCTGTGGTTCCTTCCAAAGCTGGAAAATGCCCTCAGGTGGTGCTGGTAGCCTAGTGCTGTGTGACTGTCCCCAGTGTTCCTGCTCCTCTGCGGGGTACTCATACCTGGGCCCCGGCTCCGTCTGTTAGAGTGCACAGTCTTTCCCCGTTGCAGGCTCCAGCTCCAGCCTCCTGGCCCTTGGTGAGATCTTCAGAGGGTGCTTCACTCCTGCTTTCCACAGCCTTTTGGCCAAGTTTTTCTTAAAGACACAGTGATATCTCCTGAGGAACAGTCCCACTAAGGCTAGAGCTCTGTGCTTTCTGTTGGCATTAGATTGCTAGCGCATTGTGTGCCAAAGCAAATCTCTTCTTAAGTGACAAGACTTGGAAGCACTACTGTTTCCCCTCAGCAGGGATAGCTGCAGCTCTGCTCCCACTGATCTGCAGGAAGGCAGTGCTAGCACATGCAGGAGTGCCTGAGTTCTGCATTTCCAGGCTGAAAAGGGGATGGGTTGCTTGCAAATTCAATTATACTTTTCAATTCTCAATCTGCTAGTGCTTTGGTTGTGGATACTTCCATTTCTAAGAATTCCCTGGTATTTGCTCTTCGAACTAAGATGCAGTTTTGATTTTAAACTTGGGAATACACTGTGCTAGCCTGCAGCCTGGGGACAAGCCAGCACATCCTGTGATCAGTTTACTCTGATGCATCTCTTTTTTTACAGGCTCTTTTTCCCACTGTAGGAAGAACCATTTCACTTTTGTTCTGTCCTAAGACTGGGATGGTGCTTTCCTTCCACACTCTGGCTACATCAGGATCCTCAAAGGGTAGGATGCAGGGGAGCAGAGCAGAGCAGTTGATTTTGTCAAGTTCAAGAAAGCAGCAAGCAAGATAAAACACAGGACTGTCTATTATACATTGTGTAGCCTTCTGGCAAGACAGCAGTGATGTTGCTAGACCAGCAAAACTCAGACTGGTTATGTCCTGGAAGGTCTGATATCCAGGCACTGCAACCTGTCTGTTCTTTAGTGGAAAGTGCCTATGGAGTTAATTGATACAGCAATCCAGCTGGCCTGTGAATGCTGGGGTTACAAAGGGCCATTGTCACAGCGTAGTCTTCTGCGGTCCCGCCTAGTGCAGGTCAGAGCACATCACTGATTTTGCATCTGTGCCAGGGTTCATGGATGAACAGGAGGTGAGCTTTGAGGATGCTCAAAGTTAGATGTGATACGTGTATTCAGCTGGATACCCTATTTGATGATGTACCTGATAAAGGCTGCCCAGTCATAGTGCCACTTAGGCAGATGGCTATCAGAGGCAGGCAGAAATCCTCTTTCAGAATTAACTTACAGCAGAATTTCAACAAGCAGCCCTGAATTGGCTATTTCTTTCTTATTACTCTGGCTTTGATCTTAATAGAGGTATATGGAGAATTGATCAAGTGTTTTTCATGCCAGTATGTCATGGACAGTATTCCATATGACTCCAATCTCCCATCTCCCACTTGTTGATGTGAAAAACCTGACTGAATGTTGAAAAAAAACCCCAAACTTGTCAATCAATTTGGGCTACCTTTTGAGTTTCTGTGGCAAACAAGTTCGTACTTTTTCTGTGACATTGTTCAACTCCAAATATTATGACTAAAAACATGTACAGATCTTGTTGTGTTGAAATTGTTTGTGTAACTCACCTTTGTTTCGAGCTTCACCAAGCCTTTCTGAGAGGGAGAACATCATTTCGCAAACATCCCCACTGCAAGAGACAGAAGCTGTATAATAAGCATGAAGAACAAAAGCACTAGCTTATCTTACTTGGCTACCATTTTATAGAAAGACAAGGCTTGATGGGAAGCGCAGCAGAATCAACTGGTATTTCAGAAAAGCAAGGACCTACTTGCAAACTATATTAGAATTAGCATCTGTGTATTCAGGCAAAGAGGGACTTATTATGATGGCTCAGGTTCAGTACTAATACATTTTCAACTGGGTATAACAAAAGAATTTGTAGTACTGACGGTCTTGGGGCCATGCCCTCGGTGCATGACGTGCACATGCAAACCAGTAACAATCACATACCTGTGGATTTCTGCAAAACCAGGGATATATGCCTCCATCATTTCCACAAAGGTGTCCATATCAAAAGTCTCTTCAGAGGATTCTGGTGAGCCCAGCTCTTCCAGGACACCCGTGATATAAGAGAAGAAAACATCATCCATCCCACTGGAGACAAAGAGAACACAGAGAGCAGGGTCAACAAGCCCGTTTTTTCCTTTCTCTCCATCCCCATTCTGCCTAACCTTGTCTCTTTCTAATACAGCAGCAGCAGGACCCATGTGACTGTATGTTATGAGGAGATACCACCCCTAAGGCCAAGCAGCAGGTGGCCAGTGGTTGAGAGGAAAGCATTAACTGATAAATAGTGCATGTGGTCCTGCTTCCTGGGCAGCACTGAATGAAAGCCTCAGCGTGTGTTCCAGAGGCTGTGCTCCTGTGGGTGCTGCAGCTGAAATAACCAAAATATTCCAACGTTCAAGATCTTGGCTGTTCTAGATTGACTGGTATTTCAGGTCAGGTCATCATATTCTGTTAAGTTACACTTTCTATGGGATACAGTGATACAGTGTTCTCTGCTTGCTGCTCTCCAGGCTTGTGTCGCTGCTGCCACCAGCTGCCAAAGTAGCTGCTGTGTTCCAGCCTCAAGGTGGCTGTATCTCTGCATGCAGGCAGAGTTCAAAACAGGGAGAGGCCTGACACAGATGATCCTGCTCAGCCATTTGGGAGCGCTGTGGAATGAAGGAAATCCCATATCCTAATGGGTATTACTAGACAGGAAATTCATCATCTTGGTCATCAAAGAAATTACATTGCTAGATTGCAATGCTAAACTATAGTTGTTCCAGCATTCCCATCAGAGACTGTGCAAATTACCTACATCCTGGGTCTGACTTAAAAGAGAGCAACACAAAGAACAGGAAAACTACAGAATTCAGTATAATGCACAGAGTGACAATGCAGGAGCAACAATACTGGAACTGCCTATTTCAACATACCTGAGATCTGCTGCAGGGATGTGGGACTGGATGAAGCGTGTCAGTGTGTCTTGAATGATTCTTTCAATCTCCATGTCTCTCTAAGCCTTTTCCTTAAAAAAAAAAAAAAAAAAAAAAAAAAAAAANAAAAAAAAAAGAAGGAAAAAGAAAACTCGATGTAATTTTAATAAAATCAAAATAATCAAAATGCAGGTATGGTATAGGCAAGTGTGCTCTTCCCATGAAAACCATTCACAAACTTCTCCAATGTCTTGTCATCTCTGGATAACAGCAGGCAAAGATATCCATAAAAAGCTGCAGTATGAGGATCCACTGGATAAAGGAGCCCAATATCTCAGGCCCCTCCTGACTGTGTTGATGCTGTCAGTATGCAGCTGTACCATACATTTAAAAAGTCCCCTCTGGGAAGCAAAGCTGGAAATGCAGATGTGTCCAGCTGCAGGAACCAGGGACCTCTTCTGAGCTGGAAGACTGTGGTGTCCAGTGAGGAAGAAACAGGGAGTGGGCTTATACACCCACTGCAGAAAGGGGTGGATCTTCCAGCTAAGAGCATATGCAGTGATGCTTGGACTTGACTCAGGAATGAGTGGGAGAAAGGGTAATAATGTCTCCTAAAGAAAGGACATCCTAGAGTATATTTTACAGGGAAATACCAAGCAGGGCACAGACAAGTAGTATGCCAGCCAAAATATCAAAGGTCTCCAGGTCAGGCATGGACTGCCAGTGGAATCCTGCCCAAACAGGAGCCTGTTGTTGTGCTTGGTAAATGAGCCATTCTAGAGTTGATGCAGCTGCAACAAGGGACACTTAATAGCCCAAAACTCAGGGGAGTTCTAAGAATCACAGAGCTCCTACAGAAGCAGTGGCAGAAGGGGGCTGCCCACAGCCCTGCTTTGGCTTATCAGTACTGAGCCTGGACTGAACGGGGTGGAAAAAAAGCTGATTCTTAACCATTCCTTCCCCTTGGGATCAACAGAGCTGCTGGGTGGACAAATTCCTGGTAGAAGCACCAAGTTCTTCCCAGGAAGGAAACCAGCCTTGCATTTAGAGAAACTGATATGGTCATTGGCCAGAGAGGTTCCAAGGATCATCATGCTCCCAACAGTGCAGCTCTCTCATTTCAACCACACTAGGAGCTGACCATGCCTGTTTGACACAGAACTCATGGAACAGTCATGTAGCTTACTAACAGACAATTCTGGTGTCCCATGGGAATCAGAAAGGTTTGGCATTTCCCTAGATGAGTCTTCCAGAGTTAGCAGGATAGAAACAAAACCACCCCATGACACTCAGCCAAGTTTAGAATTACATAACTTGGGACATCAAAACTCCTTCTGCATTAAACTTTCAAATGCTACATTTCTTCTAGTGATGACCTGCAGTAGTTAAGAGATCCACTAGGAAAGCTTATCCTATGTGCTCAGTTTTGTGTGAGAGTGATTTACAGTGCACAAAATGATCTACAACCCAAAGGCAGGAGAAATCACTCTCCTGAGAGCTCAGTTTTCCTGAAAAGATGTTACCATACTTCTAAACTTCCAGTCATAATTGCAATGTGGGTTTAAAGATCACTTCATTAGTTGACACTGATTCAAATATATCTGTAGAAGTCCTTCTGGATTTCTTGTTGCAATATGGGTTCTGTGTAACATGTTGCACAGAATCTATTTTTAAAAGCATATGATGAAATTATACTCCTATTGCTGTGCTCACAGCTACAGCCTTACAGTTTTGCACTGTCAGAACAAGAGACCTTCAGCTTCTGGAAATCCCTGTCATTTTCTGACAAACCTCAGTCTTTAAACACTGGGGTTTTTTGCCAAGGAGTGAGCAGTGGAGCACTGTATGTCATCTTATTAAGACAGGCTTAGTTTGAAATGCCAAGAGTGCTTATTTGAATCACATAACATCACATGACATACGTATTTACTCACCTCAGGCAGAGAAAAGTGGTATCAGTTCTCAAATTGTGAAAGTGAAAATTACTCATTTTCTGTATTAGATGCTTTGGCCAGCATCTCAACAGGGTTTCCCATCCTATTGTCAGTCCTGAGAACATAGCAATCTCAGCAATCTCCATTCCCTTGTATTCTCCTTCCCAACATGTCAATGTCAAATTTATTTTGTTGGCTTGGTAGGGCTTTTTTTGTAAAACAAATGTAGAAATAATATCTCTCTAAAAGTACCATTGCTCTTGTGGTGAATGAAATAGCTACTTATGTTATATTGAAGAAAAGTTGGTATGAATCTGTCTTCCTCAAAAAAAAAAAAAAAAAAAAGGGTGGCAAGAATCTCAACTGTTTGCATACAGCTAGATTGTTTTGGAAGGCTCTTTCAACTCCAGCTTCAGCAATCATTCTCAAATGGTCAATGTGATGGAATGGGAATGACAGTGAGCCTTGGACTTTTTGCTAACAAGACAGACTTAAGTAATTTAGAAGAATGTTTCTGAAGTAAGGAACTGTATACCAACTTTGATGAGATCATAAATTTGCCTACTGATGACTAGAGGTTTCTGCAAGTGGAAGGAGGTGGGTGTTGTATCTTTGGATGTTTCTCAGAACAGGTTAGAGCAAGTTTAGGTAAATCTGATCTGAGAAGGTTTGTGTCAGTGTCAGTGAGTGAATAATGGGACAGGGATGGTTCACTGAGCTCTTTCTGAAATTTTTTTCTGAAAAAGCACAGAGCATGTCTTATGCTGCTTGGAGTGTCTGTGCTTGGGGAAGTGCATTTCTCTGGGATATAAGGCCCTCTCAATGCAGCCTGTGACATACAGGCTCAGAGGGACCTTTTCAAAAGACATGTGCAGGACAAAGAATGAGCTGTGGCTATACTCCACTGAACTACTTAACTCAAACTTTGCTTAAAAGAAAACTTTCCAGGCTAAATGACACTTTACAGACAATTTCAGTGCTTCTATTTTTTGTCTTTCTTGCTAAAGAAATCCCTGAAAGGGCTTTCACAGTGTGGCTGCTATGTGAAAGCAGGCTGAGGTCACTGTGAGTGTTAACACAATGAACTGCTTAATGCTCTAAAATTAATATAAGACTTTTGTTTATAGCTTAGTCCCAGTAAACTATAGTGATAGAAGATAATAATGCCAGTGGCCAGACTCTGCCCTCCCCTCTAGATCTACACTGGAAAAGTGCACTTGGATACTCTGCTGACACAGGGCCCTTACCGGAGCAGATGTGCCACCTGTGCGAAGTCTTCGGCTCTCGGCCACTGTTTGTGATGTCACTTCAGTGCCTGCAGAGGAGCTGACAGCCCATCCTATGACTGCCGGGCTCAAGCCATGAATGGGGGAACCCTTTTATGGGAAAGGAAAGCTGAATTAGCTGAAGCAGGAGCACAAGAGAATCATTCTGTATCCTGGTGTCGTTATGCTTTATGTCACTTGTGACCATTTCCCCTAACACAGAGAGTACAGCTTTATTCTTTGTAATGCAATGTACTTTGCGAAGGGATAGCTGCGAGAGCGGTATCCCTGTCCCTTCAAACCCACTGCGACGTCGCGATGTTTTTCAACACGCACACTTCAGGCAGCAAGGCCAGCAGTGGTCCCTGCACGTCTCCAACGTGTTCCCAAAGCACTGGCGGCCTCACCGCCACGGCCAAGCACAAGCCGTCTCTCGAGCCTTTAAGGAGACGGACCGGAGAGCGAGCACCGGCGCTGCCGCTGTGCAGGTCGCCGCTGCAGAGCGGCGACACGGGCCGGGCGGCTGCCACTGCGCCCGGGCTGCTCCCCGCCACCGCGGGGTGCCGGAACACGCGCTGCAGGGCCGGGTCCCTCCGCCGGCCGCCCGCACCGGGGGTCGATCCCCGCACCGCGGAGACTGCGCGTTACCCCGCCCGGGCCCCTGGCCCGTCTCCCGCCCCCGCGCTGCGGATCCCGGAGGAGAGCCGCAGTCCCGGCTTCCGCGGCGCTGTGTCCCGTGTCCCCTATCCCGTGTCCCCTATCCCGTGTCCCCTATCCCGTGTCCCGCGTCCCCGCGGGCGGGGCGGTAACGGGCGCGCGCCGCCGCCGGGGGTTAGCGGTCACCTGATCGCCCGCGCGCCCCCGCCGCGCCGTCCTCCCTGCGCGCGGGGCCCGCGCGGCGCGCTTGAACGCGTCACGTGGCCGCGCCCGCCGCCAGCCGCCGAGGCGCGCGCGGCCCGGCGGGGCGGGGCGGGGCGGGGCCGGCGGCTGCGCGCTGCCGCTCCCGCCGCCATCTTCCCTCGGGCAGCGGCCCGCCGGCCCGGCGCCCCGGGGAGGGCTCCCGGGGTCGCTCCCCGCCGCCGAGTGCCGGGGGCTCTTCCCTGCCGAGAGCAGCGCCCTGTCCGGTGCTCGGGCCGGGCTGCCCGCTCGTCGCCCAGCCGAAGCTCTGTCCCGGGATGCTCCCGGGCTGCGCCCGCGGGCAGTGTCCTGGCTGAAGACTCAGCCGCTAGGGCCGCGCTCGGCGAGCCGTGTTATAACCATTGATTGTGCCGGTCTGCAGCACTGCTCTGTGTCGAGGGCAGGCTCAGGTTCAACAGTCACAGAATCAGCTGGGATGGAAAAGACCTCTGGGATCACCGAGTCCAGCGTGTGACCACGCACCGACCTGAGAAAGCAGAGCGGGATGGGGACGGGGACGGAGCGGGATGGGGACA